AACATCTATTCGATATCATTGCAAACAAATTCGGCCTCACCGGATTTAGCGTGGCTCCTTTGTATGCCCTCAGTGAATCGTCATTTACCTATTTTGTGTTTTTCGTTTCCAAGATGGTGGCTGTCTCTTAATGGGATCTAATAAATATTCGTATTGCTTAGCAAGTACATGTACAAATAACTTAACCCAGCAAAACTGTTTATAGCGCATGTAGGGAGCGGAGTAGAGTGGATAAATGTATTATGTCTTTATGGTTGATTGCTTGCCGATGATATCTGCTTCTGAACCTCTTGAAGCTGGGTGGCTTTCGATACTATTTGTTGCTCAAGCTGCGAAATGATCGTATTGAGCTATGCATAAATAAGTGCAAAATACATTGGATTCTTGCAGCTCCAGATGCGGAATCATTGCCTCCACGGTCCCTTCAACGAGAACGCCCGAGATCTGCCGATAACAAGGCCTGGATGGCGACATTTCTCTAAGTGCCTTCATCACAATTCTACGAGGCACAAGTGAATGTAGACTTACCTGGTTTCTTCCCTTTCCATCTCAAATTCAGACGCCTTTTCATGTAGTGCCTGTAATTCCGACTTTAGGAACGTCGATTGTGACAATAATTCGGGACTACTCGACATATGGCAAAAAATTTATTTATAATTTAATTTGACAAGTCGGGAATGCGCAATTCGTCAACTGCAAGGCGAGGCCACTATGTCCGCTATAATTGACAGAGTCTTGGCTTTCATTGAAGGGTGTAGGGTTGGATTTCTGCCGAGAGTCTTAGCTGCAAACATTAGGACCGAAGTGGCTTCTTGGCTATATGACCTGCCCTTGGTAATGTCGCTGTTGATTGCAGGCTGGTACCTCGAGTAATCGCCTGTGATCATCTCCTTTTCAACTATTTGACATTCCTCGGATATTTTCTCCGAGGAAATCGGCGTTTTTGGAAACTCAGCATATGGTATATTTGACGAGGATGGCCTTGTCGATTCCTGTAACTGCTCCCAAATAAACTTTTGAGATACCACCTTTATGGCTTCAGCTTCACTTGGAAGTAGAGGAGAAAATTTGTCCCAATTCGTTTTAAAAGGAGCATCTCGAAATTCATTGGCCAGAGTGTGTTCTATTTGATCCTCTCCAACCGGAATCTTAAACTCTTTCAAACTGGCCAATTTCTGCCTCGATAGAGACATGATTATGGAAGAATTGAATGGCGGAGCCTCAAACAATTCCTCCAATCTTGGTTCGTCAGAGTCATTGATGGATGCTAAAGCCAAATTTTGATGATAGAATTTGTTGGATGTCTTGTCTTGTCTGGCTTCGTACAGCGAATCAAACTGCGGGTCTGCCTCGTGCAACTTTATCGGCTGKTCAAGCTCATTTGTATTTTTTAGCATATCTGAGGGGGAACGCTTTGCCGAAAAAGCCCTCATTCGGACGCCTGGCCTGATAAGCCTTATAGAAAGACAAAGAAACTGATTCATGGTGTGTTGAAAAATGAAATAATTTATTTAACGAGTAAATTTTGTACTCTTAACGATGTTAGTTCTAATACCAGAGCGCTCACCCGCATAAGGCGCGCCATGCATTTTTGGCGCAACCATAGGCTTGAATCCCTTGATCTTTTTCATTGCCCTTTCATATCTCTTTCTTTGCTTGACACGTGGATTCCTTTGCTCCTTGGACCGGACTGGAAGCAAGCCCTTGTTCTTCAAGATTTCATAAGGTATTGTTCTCTTGGACCCGGCATCCATATCATTGTACCTATCATAAGACGGTCCGGAATAGGAACAGTTGGGGTTCTTTTCCTTTTTGGCTGCTTTTAGCGACTTGATGGCCTCGTAATACTCTTCATCTGAATTTACATCCCTTTTGTTGATTTTGTTGGCATATTCGTCTTGGTGGTCAAGCCCACATTCCCCTTCGGTCTCACAAGAGCTATATAAATCATCCTCCAATTCAGATTGAGAAAGAGACTCATCCTCGCGTTCGGATCCGCTGCTTTGCCGATCTTTAGAGCATGACTTGGGCACTTGATTTGCTTTTGAAACGAAATAAAGGTTTTTGGAATTTTCAACAATTCTGCCATTTTTGTAATATGGAAAGCAAGTAGGGGCTTCGTAATATTGAATGTTTTGATAATACAACTTTTGATCTGCTAACCCTGGAAAATAATAATCGCAGAGCCTTAAGGATGCTCTTTTCAACCTCTGAACTCGAATGCATTCCAGCAACTCTTCCTTCTCAGCATTTTTATCGCTTGAATAGAATATCTTTTTTTTTCTTCCCCAGGCTTTAATATCTGAATTTAAATAGTATTCTTCGTTTAATAGTGTGTCTTCGCTGAATTCGTCGGAAGAAGGATCAAGAGGAAGGACATCTTGCTCGTTTAAAAACGGTGCATCTTCGTACTCCAAAACTGCTGATGTATTTTTAGAATCTTCAAATAAGATTTTGTCTCTCGAGTGATGAAATTTGTCTACTTCATCGTCAGAAAGGTCCGAAAAATGCCCACCGGCTTTGCCATTTTTTGCCATCCAGATTAAAGAACAAAAATTTTTGGTTTAATTTTTGGTTTAATTTTTATTTGTTTCTGGAGATTGTTGCACATTTATCGTCGCGTATGTCACCTTGAAGAGCCAAAACGAAGGCAATAACTAGTATAAATACTGGTCTTTCTTTATCTTGTTCAACGTTTTTTGTATTTCCTCTAACAATTTTTGGAGTGTCGAGCTGTCTGCTGGATGTTTCTGCTCCCCGTAGTTAAAGTGGTATACTCCCACATTTGGCGAGCTACATGATTGGTCTTTTGACAGATCGCGTTTGTCGCTAATATTTGATGTGTCTTTTTCGAGGTCCACTATTTCGCCTTTTGGGCTACTTGTGTTGGAACTATTTTTCTTTTGAAATTCTTCCATAAATTTATACAAACGAGCTATTGATTCCTTAAAGCCATCCTCAAAAGGCTTCGTAACATTTTTCATACTTTCAGTAATGTTGGCATTAAAATCAGCTGGATCAAGCTTTGAGTTTTTGGGCCCAAGTGCACTTGTCCATTTAACAAGAATTAACAAGCTATATAATATTAATCTCTGTGTTACGAGCATAATGCAAGGAACACCAGAGATGTAAACCCTAGGTTAACCTGCTACCATCCTAGTGGTTGAATTTAGACCCAATAAGTTGCGTATTTTATTGTGTAAATTTTTTAATTTTAAATGTTTTATGGGTTTAAAGATTATCTAATTGGACAATGTTCCTTTGGAAAGACCCCTTCCGAGACTTACTCTGGTGACAAGCAGGAAAAAATTTGCGATTTTGTGCAGGTTCCACTGAAGTTTGAGAAAGTTCGCTCTTCACTTAATTAATAGTTAGTCCTGTTCGGCTTTTGCATCTGCCTATCTTCGTTTTTATTCCACCTAATCATCCTTCCAATAAGGATCGTTACCGGGGTTTTCGTTATTTTATCGAGGCTTTTAAAAAAGATATTCAAAAAGACGCCAGTGCTCTCTTGTAATGCAGAATTTCATGATTGCGTCAAATTTTTTGTCTTCTGCATTAGCTGTTTCTTTTTGGGGCTAGTTGATCTTTCCAAATTGTATCACTTTATTAGAGGCCAAAACATTGTCAAGCTTTATGTGATTTTTAATGTTTGCGAGGTTAAGATTTTGAAATTTTTACTCTAAAGATAGCCGATAAGCTGTGTTGCTCATTTGGGCTGGATTTGCTGAACGCCGTCGTTAACTCGCCCCCTGTCAATGTTTTCGGATTTTCCAGGTTGATTTCCAAAATGCATCAACCTCACATGTCGTCTGAAAAAAACTTTAAATTTATAACGCTTCTTGTTATTTCTTCCGTGTATTGTTGCATTCATACGCTTGTGCTGATTTATCAAATCATTGCGCTTAATGTGGCCATCAATTCTCACAGCAATGCGCTGCTAACCTTGCTACTATCAAATCAGTTTGTGGAGTTAAAGTCGTCTGTTTTCAAAAAGTTTGAAAAGGAAAATTTGTTCCAATTATCGTGTTCAGGTTTTGCTTTTTTTATAACCGCATAGAAATGGTTGAAAGAATGGTTATCTTTATGTTCTGCGTGATGATTGGCTGGAGGAACGTCCTCCAATTGACTAGTGATGATAGAGCTTCTTTCTGGCAATTAGTCGTTTTAACATTTACCCCGCTATTGATAACATATGTGTCTGAAATATTTGTGGATTGGCTCAAGCATTGCTTTATTACCAAATTTAACGCCATCAATCCGATGGTGTACGACACATATTTCAGTATCCTCTGCAACGACATCACACCGTTTTCCTCGATTTCCCCTTTGCAGAACAATGTAACCAGTTGTGTTTATTTAATCGTTCCTTGTCCATTTAGGATGCTAATTTATCTAAAATTGTTACCGTAGCCACAAAGATCGGCTTTTCCCCGCTTCCATTGTGCTGCCTCACGGTTACCGTTTTTTCGCAGCTTTTCAACTCGCACTCGTTTGCGTTCGATTTTTCTTCGCTTTATGTGGGCTCATTTGTGCTGTTTTGGTTTGGTTTGATTTTCCTATCGCCTAGCTTTATTGTTGCAAAATATTTGCTCGATACTTTCATCATCAGCGTTTGCATTGAAAGATCTTCCACCATAACCATCAAAGACACCCAGGAGCCACGGAACTTGGCCATGCATCAAAAGAGCAGCACAAAGAAGACATGCTCGACCCCTGTAAATAGCACCACTACTCCCAATAAATAATTTCCAGCTTAGACACGCATTTACCCCATATCGTAAAACCTTTATTGTCTCGATGATGGGGAGACTCCGGGAACAGGTGATGAGCACAAATCCCAAATGCTATTTGTATATTCAAAGGAGGAACGGTCGCCGTCGATTCTGATCAGATGAATGTCGTTCGAATCCATGCTTTTAACCCTAACTCTAATCGAGGGAGGCGAGTCTGTTGCTGTTGGAATATCATCCAGCAAAGAAACACCCAATGACCTGTATATTCGCAGACGAAGCCTAAAGATAACCAAAACTTTCGCAATACTCAAATTCAGATAGCTCCACGGGCTCCATGTTTTCTTTTTTCAAATTGTGTAGCTCCTGTTGAGCCTGGAATAGCTGCAACTCGAAAGACCTATATAAACAAGGCGTAAAAGATACTCAATCGCAATCTCGGCATCCCTTATTTGCTTGGCCAAGGCAAATTTCCCGGATTCAAGAGAAGCCAGACGCTCCAAGTGTTTCTCATGCGTCAGATTAGGCGGACGCACAGAGTCTAACCTTGCCGCTTCCAATTTTGCAATCCAGGCTATGTTGTCAGGTAAAATAGCGACACATTACCAGCAATGTTTTCCATGCTTGCGTTCAACTTTTTTTTGGTCTCCTCAGATATTGCATCCATTTGGGCCTTAAGGGACAAGATATGTGTGACATCCGAATTCGATTTAAATTTTGGCAACAATGCCAAAATTAATTGACGCGGCTCGTCAAGTGATTGTTGGATGGTCCAAGCGGATGAGCCGCCACTTCCGGATGAGGAAGCAGGGGATGCCATAGATTGCAAATTAAAATTTTCTAATTTATCAAATTTCAAAGCAGCATTTGGGCCGGGTCTTCCAAAAGCGACTTTAGCGTCTTTAAGAATTGGGTGCCCAAAGCGCCATCAACGACCCTATGGTCACAGCCCAGGGTTAGAGTCATCTCTGAGCAGGGGATTAATTTATCTTCTTCGACGGCCTCCGCATCCTCATTGCTTTGTTCAAGTATTTGCTGAATTGGTCTCCAAACGGTTTCCGTAGCGCCTACAGATAAGATTGCTGCTTGTGGCAGATTAATTATTGACGTGAATGAGGTAACTCCGAACATTCCCAAATTGGATATGGTAAATGTACCGCCCTAAAAGGTAACCGATCAAGCGATCGAAGCATACCATAAATTCGTTTGGGGCGAGTGTCTGGGCCTTTGCCTTGGCTGCAAGTCGCTTGACTTCTGTCGCGGTCTCAAGCAATCCAAGTTTGTCCGCATTAAATACAATTGGAGTTATCAATCCTTCGCCCGTTGAAACGGCAATCGAAATGTCAACATTGGAATATCTAAACATTAGTAGCTCAGGTCACTCATGAATTGAGTCCCCCATCCATGATGCATTAATGCCCGGGTGCTCTTTGAGTGACACAGCCACCGCTTTAATGATAAAATCGTTGACAGACACTTTAGTTCCAGGGTGTTTGATAGCAAGATGGCTATTTATTCTTTTGCGAATGCCAAGCAAAGAGTCCACATTAACCTTACAATTTAGATGGAAGTGAGGAATTGTAGTTGTCGATTCGGTTAATCTTTTCGCAATCGTCTAAATTTAGGTTAGCAAATGAAGTGTGTACGCGTCGCATGTTAGAAAGTGGCCTTTGAACGGTGACACCTTTAGCCATTTCCTTGCCGAAGAATGCGGGTTTCACTTGCTTTTGCTTATCAACAATCGATGTAATATCATTTTCAACTATTCTTCCGCCTGGACCAGAGCCATTGATATGCAAGGAAGATAAGTCGAGTTTGTTTTCTGCAGCAAGCTTTCTTGCGAGTGGGCTGATTTTAAGTCTAGAAGAAGAAGAAGAAGAAAAATCGGGTTTTTGCATTTGTGGACGCTCATCCAACACTTTGGTTGGCTTGGATGGCTCAAAATTTGGCTGTGCTTCCTCCAGAACGGGAGCGGAGGTCTTTGAAACAGAGTTGCTGGGATCCTGCTTGGGCGATTCCTGGAAGATGCTATCAGGAATAGACGCGATGTCATCTTTATTTTCGACAATCACCAATAATGGCTAACGAATAAGGACTCTAGGTACCTTCCCAATTGGAATGTCCTTCCCACCATCGGGATAAATGATCTTGGCAATGTAGCCCTGTTCTTGGCATTCCCAATCCATGGTTGCCTTGTCTGTTTCAATTTCTGCTAGCGAATCTCCAGGCTTAACAGCATCCCCGACAGCCTTTTTCCATCTAGAAAGCGTTCCCTCAGCCATGGTAGGCGAGAGGGCTGGCATAGAAAGGACTTGATGCGGTGGAAGTGATCCTGCGAGTTAGAGAAAGAAAAAACCTGACGAAAACACTCTTGTCCATCTTGGGAGAGAAACGGTATTTTTATGTAAAAAATGCCCTTTGCATACTCTGGCTATACTAGCAGTCATAGCCATCACGCACGTTGCTAAAAACACCAATTTCCAACTTTTTGGTTTGTAACTTTTAATTTTAAAATCGCACACCACTTTGCATAACGAAGTTTAAAAAGCGATTCTAGTATTCGATTACATTCCTAATGTCTTTGTCGTCTCAGTACAAAAATAGATTTTCCGCGATCTTTGCCGACGAGGAGGATTTTGCGCCGGCGACATTATCTGCATCTGATCAAAAGGCGAGTCTCTCAACCGTGCCCCATGTGAAGAAAGCCGTTGCCTCTTCAGGCCCAATTTTGTCTGGATCTTCACTATCCAAAGTGGACGCTGTTCTCAAGCACCGTGAGGCGGAAAAAAAACGTCTTGCTGAAGAGCTTGAAGAGAAAAAGAAGGCCGCCGTGGAGGCTGCCCGCCTTGCTGCAGAGGAAGAGGAAAGGAAAAGAGTTGAAATCTCCGCAAAGAAAATGGCAATTAAGGACCGGAAAGCCAACCCCAAAGCAAGTGATGGATTTGAACTTGTTGGTAAAGATAGCCGCAAAAGACAGACCCGAATTTCCAATCTCATTCATACGCAAAAAACACCCGAATCTTCTGAGACCACTGATCGCCAAACGAGGCGTGCCCATGATCGCGAAAATCGCACTGGAATGAAGTTTTCCTCAAGGAGAGGCTACAATGGCCACAAAGAATCACTCAACGATACAATTTCTGGAAGCGTCGAATCGGTCGAACCATCCTCAATTCAGGAGGTAGCTCCTGTAGAAGCCGACGCCGACAAGACGGTACCCAAAACAGGGGAGGAGGAATCTGTCGCCGCTCTGCCCAAAAGATCTGTAATGACTTTTGACGAGTATCTTTCCACCAAAAACACCCTTGTGCTTGATTTGCCCAAACGCCTTGCTAATGAGGGAAATGGTCCAAACCAATTTGAAAAGACGATCCCGTTTGTTCGCACAACGGAGTCCTTTATGGGATTTTCCATCAAGGACGAAGATGAAAAAACCAAGCCCACCTCTCCGGTCTCTGCGCCCTTGTCGTCTCGCGGCGGCTCGTTCATCGTTGACCCACGTCTTGAGCCGGTGTTTTCCAAAAAGTCGGCTTCTCCCAAGTCTATCAAACCCCAAAAGGGTACTACTGCTAAGAAATAACAACACCGGACCCATTAAAAGTTAATAAATATGCTATTTGAGGTCTATTTAGTTTTACTTTTTACTATGAGCGCAGAAATAGCAGGTAAAATAAAATCATGAACCCCATTAAAAATAGAATGAAATAAACCGTATATCGTCCCACCGGTGTTTGGGCCATCACAGTGAGGCGCTTCATGGAGGACTTTAGTAGCACTGTGCCCCTATCAAAGATAGTATCCTAATGCGATACGTCACTACGTCGTGCTTACCATTTCGTTAATTTCGGCTTTCTGCCCCTCCAATTCCTCTGAAATGTTAATTGAGACATCCATCAGTCGGTTCGTTTTGAGAAGCAGGTCATCGATGCGACGACGCTCCTCCTCGCCCCCATCATCGCCAGTATTTACTCTGCTGTATGTAGAGGAAACTCTACTCACATAAATTGGGGCATTTACCTTCTTGAGTTTGGGTAAATATTGGCATTGTAATCGTATCTGTTGGAACTCATAAAAAAATTAATGTCAAATTCGTAAACCAGAACACCAAATAAAATATGGTGCTGCCAGTGATTACAAAGATGATGACGACGACGAGGATAATGACGATGGAAATAACTATTTATTGGTAAAATAATTATTTATTGAACTTATTCGTTCTTTGCTTTAATGACACCACGTTCGGAAACATAAATACCATCAAGAAACTTACGGACATCCTTGTCCGTAACGTTGGTTGACTGTTGAATGTTTGCTGCCGATTGGGATACATTATCAATAGAGTTTCCAACGAGCATAATTTCATCCTTTATGCCGGTTTGAGAAACACTGACACCCTCAAGCATGGAAATACGGCGAATAGCCTTTTCGCCCAAAAAGTTGCGGATCTCAACGAGATTCTTTGAAGGACCAGCAATGTTAATGTTGATGGGAAAGTGAGCATAAACAGATTTCATCTTGTACTGGAATCCCTTGGTAACACCTTTAATCATATTTTCAATGTGAGTCGCAACAGTTCTAATCACTGCATTGTGTTTTCTCAAACCAAACCAGACTTGAAGGCGAAGAGTGGAGGAATTGATGATTTGCATCTCAATATCAACATGCTTGAAGTCTTTAGAAAGGGTTCCACGAGGACCGGTAACCGTTACCAAACGAGCCTTTGTTGTAAGAGTTACACCAGATGGGATGTTAATATTAATACTGGTGTTGATAGATTTCATCTAAAAACGTAAGTAAGAACAACGAATGGCAAAAGACATATATGAAATGGAGCTGCATAACAGCAACGATGGATGAAAATATCTGGCCATAATCTGGTACCTGATTTGATGATAAAGATAATCCTTAAAAATGAATTTTTATTTAATGTGTTAGGGTTAGAATTTAGTAAAATCCAAATTTTGGCAATCACGGTTTTCAATCATGAATACCTATGAAAAGAGACTTGAATCGTTCACACTCAACCGCTGGCCGTTGGATGATAGTCCCGACCAGAAATACTCCGTAGAATTGGTAAGATATTTGACATCTTAGGTTAATTAGTTTGCAGCTGCTGGATTTTATTTCAGCCCAACTCAAAGCCATCCAGATGCGACATCTTGTTATTGTTGCGCGAAAGACCTAGATGGCTGGGAGCCAGAAGATGATCCGTGGATGGCTCACATAAAGCATGGAAGAATGCCAAAAAAAACGGCAATCCGGTATTTTTCTTCGCTGCAGTCGCTGGAAAGACGCCCTGATCACATTAAAAAGAATCTCTCCTCTATAATAGCAGGCCTTCGATCAGGACCCGACGAAGTTGCATGTCCCTTGGTAACCATGCATTTAGAGAGATCAAGGCTATTCTCATTTACCTCTGGATGGCCCCATAAGGACGATGGTTTGCAAGAATTTAAGGCATCTCCGTTTTCGGTATCGCGCTTGGAATCATTTATTGCTAGTTGGCAGCATCCGGCTTTTTCTTTTATCCATCATTAAGCTCGAATGATCAAGTTGTATGCTACCAGTGTGGTTTGGCTCTGAGCGGTTGGGAACCTGATGACGATCCATGGTTTATCAAGTATTATTGCCTATTCCCTAGGTTTGAACATTGCAAAAGACGTCCCGAATGTCTCCATATTAAAGGATCACCGGCCGAACCATATTCATTCACTTCAATATTTAGCACATGTCCATCCCTTTTACCAATATCGCCAAATGCATCGATAACCCTTATTGATGAAGGACCGAAATATCGATTGATAACAGCCAAAATGTCAAACGAAACATCCGATGTATCTCATGACCTTCCTTCGGTTGAAAAGTCGAGGAAAAAGCACACTTTCAAGCCAAAAGTCAGAAGATCTCAGATCTTTTCTCAAAACGCACAAAATACGCCAGTATCCGCCTCTAGAATAAAAGAAATCATACAGAAATCAAGAGATTCCAACCAATTCAAGGAGACTGACGAACCAGACAAAAACTTGCAGCCCAGAGTTTGTTCTATTGATTCTCGCCAATCTGGACCAATCATGCAGCCCTATTGTTCGCTTGAAGAATTTGAAAAAATCTCATCAATGACAGTTGGCACGTATGTTGAGTGGATCGGCAACGAAATTGTACATGTCTTTGATAGAATTACAAATGGCACCCTGTAAATGTTTAATGGTAAATGTTAGCTGGTATCTTCCAGGAGCTTCTTTATGTATCTGTTAAAAATTGCATCTATTTCCGATTCTTTCAGATTTTCAGTACGAATTGAAATCTTTTTCCCATTCACTATTTGCAAATAAAAATCGGTATCAATCCTACCAAAATCCATGTCCAATTTGGGGGCGGCAATTGAGGATGAATTGACAATATTAATGAAAGAAAGGGTTTCTGGCGTCAATAAATGTCGAAGAAATAGCCTAAATGAGAAAAGACTTTTTGTACCTAGACCCAACGTGCGTGTTGTTACAAGGAGCAAACGACACCTCGATCCGCTTAACAAGCCCAACCAAAGAAGCTGCCCTAACCATTTGGAAAATTAAAAATAGTTTATTTAAATTCGATTTAATTGCAAAAGATCTTTTCCGCTTCTTCAATGATGAATTGAATGACTTCAATTCTGGGGTCTCCCGCTTTGATTGCAGAATTTTTTTCTTCCTGTATTTCGGCAAGAAGAGGAAAAAATATCAATGCCAATTCCAAAGAGCTCGATCCATTTGTCATCGAGTTTCTTGAAACTCTGTGCAAATGAAGAAACAGGGTAGAAATCAAAGTGTATTCCAACTTTACCGTATCGCCGATGGTGGCTTTGATCATCTTGAAAGTATTGTCCTGTTTGGTAAGATTCGACATTGCAGAGTGGATTTTATCGAAAAACGAAGCTATAAAAATCTTTCTTGGATAAAAATCCATCAAAGCTCGTTTTAATAGCTGAGATAGATTTGACAAAATGGGCTCATCGACATTCTCACAGGAAAGATCCTTTCCTATTGGAAAAGTTGTTACAAGGGACTCTAGTAATAAGTAAGCAGCAATGGTTTACTAACCCGTGCCATAGAGATTAAATGTGGTCAATCCACCTAGCTGTTCAATCGAGTTAATTATTCTTGAAACCAAGGGAGCCAGGTCAATTCCAACAACACAAAGCTCCAAAAGAGAACAATGCGTTTGACTAGAAATATCGATTGAAGAATAGAGCTCTCTTAAGGAGAGGAAAGACAACTCTTCAGAAATATTGCCCATTTTTTTAATCAGAGCCGGAAACTGCTTATCAACAAAGGATTCTTTTTCGAAATTTACTTTCTTGTAATGTTCAGAGTGCTTCAAAGTCAATGTAGAAAGCTTATCTTTCAACAGCTCGAATTCCTAAAACAAGACGATAGTTTCTAACCTCTATTGGAGATACCTTTTTTGGACCAAAAAAAAGAGAGATTCTGCTCTTGGTAGTTTTGTAGCTTTTTATAGATCCAAAGGAAGACACAGAATCGGACAAGCGATTCTTTTCTTCCGGTCCTATCGTGACCTTAGGAGATATGGAGGAAAATTTCGATTCGACAGTTTCCAACTTACGAGATAGCGATTTAACAGACGATTCGCCACTCAGCAGCTTTTCAAGCTCTTTTTGGAATATTCTTTTAATCTAGCAATGTTTTACATCGACATTTCGGCATACCTCCTTGCGACTTTTACTGGCAGATTCATGATGGCCTTTGAGATTGCACAGGATTTGCTTTAGCAAACAGGAGGCTCGATAGTAAACGGTCGATTGCTCGTTGTAAATTTTTCTGATCTTCAGAAAAGACCTGTTTTCTGCCTCTTGTACGCCAAATTCGTCGCAAGCTTTGATGAGAGATCTATATCGATGGTCATCCATCTCATAAAGTCTGCCTATGAATTCTTTAATATTCTAAATAGTTAGCAACAACGGGGAGCAAACCTTGGTGGACGAGATTGCCCTCTTAAGGTTAGTGTCAGCCTCCTTGAAAGTATCCTAAAAATAGAACCGCGAAATACTTGAAGGATTCTCAAATCATCGCTTGTGATCATCGATATGCTTTTGGTCTTTATGGTTGGCTGTGCTATTTCGTTTAGCGAGGCTGCAGATAGCAAGTCAAGCTTTGGACGGTAAACTTTTGAAAGAGCAGCATTTGACTTTCTGGCCAGAGTCTCTCCTGTCGCCCCCTCTTGTTCGTTTGTTCGATTTGCTGATCTCAGAGATTTAAGTGATGCATGTAGATCTTGGCGTTCTCCAAAAATGGTCGACGAATTTTGTACTAATGACATTATCTCAAATAAAATGAGCCATAACTTTTATGATTTTTAGTTCTTTAATGGACAATGCACATTTACATCCAGGCAACCATTAGCAAATCAGCTTGCGGTTCCGTGGGTTTTACGCATTTGGGATTTTTGATTTTAATAAGCAACTGGGCATGTGTGATGGTAGATTTACTTGCATGGTACATCTACGGGCCAATCGGGGTAAAACGGCTTGAACCCCAAAAGGTTTTGGTGGACTCGAAAATCTCCGCCCCCGCCCCAATAGAGAGAATATTTAGCAAATAAGCGCCATTAATTGATTAAATTAAATTAAATTAGTAATTTTGATAAGGTTTTTGCATTGCATTAAAGGTTTTCTTTAGTGCAGTGTCAGTATATGCTTGCAGAAGCCGCAGTTTCTCCCAAGATTATCTGTAGATCCCTATTTTGATATGTGTATAAAATTCATGTTTGACAGTTACAACCAAGGGAAGCGGTATGCTAGTGGCTTCAATAATCATAGAGTTTCTATTGATCAACTTGACGAGAAGCTTTTACAGCCCATTGTTTTCACGCAGAGCCTCACAGATGAGTAAATTTGCCCTGTAATCTTTAGAACTATCATGGATCATTCAATATATAAAATCCATTACAAAAACTGGCAGTTTGACGCGTTCCTTTTTAACGATGAAGAGTTGCTTTCCATATCATATGGTTGCTTCAAAGATAGCGGGGTGCTTGATCGGCTACATATTACCACACCCGAGTTTATTTGTTTCCTTAAACTCATCCGAAGCCTATATACACACAATGACTACCACAATTATAAGCATGCTGTGGATGTTCTTCAATCCACCTTTTTCGTTCTCTCTACGAGCCCGTTCCTTGAAAAATTTTGTGATGTTGAAATTTTTTCTCTGCTTCTTGCCTCTCACTGCCATGACATTCGACATCCTGGATGCTCCAATCAATTCTTGGTTAGTGCCTTTTGTATTTTCTTATCTGTAGAGCGTATCGAAATCCAGATTGGCACGTGAGTATAATGACGTGAGCGTTCTCGAACTATACCATTGGGCACAATTGAGACAAATACTCAAAAATACGGAGGGCTTCAACGCCCTGCCTTCCCTTTCGGGACAAATGAAAGACGATATCATCAAGATGCTGTATGAATACATCATCGCCACGGACTTGGCGCGCCATTTCACATTTATTCAAAAATTGACTGTTTTTTTATCTCAGAAAAGCTACTCGCAAATTTTTGAAACAAAGCCTGGTCGTATCTTAATTAGTTGCTGTATCATAAAATTTTCTGACATTTCAAATGTGTCGCGGCCTTTCCATATTTACATGAAATGGGTCAATTCTCTAGTTAATGAATGCATCATTCAGAACAAGATGGAGGATATATTTCAATTTCCATGTCACCAGTTTGATGTGTCTAACATTTCCGCCTTTCAGCGCCATTTCATGGATAAGATCGTGATGCCCTTTTTTAAGGTCTTGTCGCAATTTTTTCAAGGACCTCTTACCGATGCTTTTAATATTTATGCGGCAAATCGAATGTATTGGAACATATTCCACGAGGCTATGCCAGTTTGACTGTATCATTTCAAATAATTTATTCAAAACATCTTAATGGGCCTGCTTATTTATGGCATCTTCTAAAAATGCTGTATGAAAATATCCCAATCGATACAACGGATACTGCAACTCCATAAATGAAAATTTTCCTGTTTCGGTTTCTTTTTTGGAAATCCAAAAGAGTAACATATAACTCTTCAAATAGCTCCGAAGAAAAATTAAAAGAAAGGACAGCCTCGGCAATGAGCGAATCAACAGAATCCTCGGAAAGGTGTGGGAGAGAATTAAGAGCTTCTCGATAGCGGTTTTTAAACGAATCAATAGACATTCCAAGATTTGGAAATTGGTAAAAAGAAACACCACCCGATTGCGGATCAAGCGCGTACATTTTGGTAATCTTTCGGCTCATAATTTGCCCGCCAGACAAATCACCCAAGTATCTGGTATACGCTATGGCGATCAATAGCTTTGGATCCGTATTTTTACATTTCTCAATTCGTGCAATATATGTGCGGGTCGATGGTGTTATGATTGAAAGAACCTCGTCAGCTGGAATATGAAGCCGATTGCAGTAAAAATTAATGTCCTTCAAAAGAGCCTCTTTCCTGTGGAGCTCGGTCGGAAAGTAAATTTTTCCCAAAAATTGGTCTTCCGAATTTTCATTCAAAGCCAGCTCAAGTGCACCATAAATGTGATAGAAAGAGACAAGAAGTCGCAGGTATATTTCTTGGGGAAATGCATTTGGATCTGCTTTTAAAATGCAGTTAACAACCGGAAGCCGCTCAACCCTCTCATGTACCTCAGTGGTGCCAATTTTAAGCTCTTCGGCTAGGAGAATGTCTAAAAATTAAAAAGGAAAGTGGCTTGCCCGATTCGTAATTAATAAAGAGATCAATTCTGTAAATGGACAAGGCCCTTACAAGGGACGAAGAGGAGGGAGATGCACATCGGGTATCGAAAGGGCATTTGGGATGGTTTTTAGGTATTGCATCTGCAATCATCTGTAGCAGGGTTTCCTTATTTTTGCCAGCTGAAATCAATCGATAAGGGCATGAATTTTGTTTCTGGAATGCCGCGCTATTTTGATTAGAAGAAGCCGGCTACCATTTAGCTTTTGCAAGTTCACATAAATTTTCAAATTTGTCGCGCATAAAATTCGTATTTGCAATTGGGCATCGAGACTTTGAGTGATTGGCACCGTTGGATGTGGCAAGGTGCGATGGCTTGCTATCGTTCACTTCATTCATGTGCTAAAATGTGGTAGCTGATTATTTTAAAATTAAATTGAATCTGGTACTTTATACGCGTTTCTAACCCTAATTTCGATATTCTTAATTGCCAACTGAATCAAAATTTATGCTGGCCTAAATTACTGATAGAAGATATGGGGCTTTCTTCGTTTGCACCGAAAAATATTTATCCTTGTCGTCTGATTTCAAAAGCCCATGTTTATCATGGAGAAATTCTTTGCCATATTCAACCCCAATTCATGCCAAGTACTTTGCTTCAACCCTGACACGTGGATTTCTTACTAAAAACCAAGGGAAACTTTGATTTTTATGCGCATGGATAAAGGTAGAGAATTTTTTGAAAAATAAAGACAAAAAAGAGACGATGAGGCCCAATCTTATAAATGATCCTTATACCCTCATTCTCGCTGTGATTTCTTTTTAAATCGATTGGGTCGATTCGCTGTCTCGTTTCGCGAAGGTGAGAGGATCCTGTTGCTTGTGTTCCAAAGAAGCTACATGGAAATATAGCCATAAAAATATTGGGATTGATGCTAGAATGGCATCTCAACCACCTGAGATATATCCACAAAACCATTGTAAAGAAAAATGTCAGATTAAGCTACCTTTCCCTTTTGCTTTTTGTTACATCGATGTGGCAGGAAAAATTTTAAAGCTCCGCTGCGCTACATTACAGTGCTAGAAGGTCTTAAACTGACAACCGCGTATTTATGTGAGTTCATACACACATTTTCAAGCTCACCCTCAAATGCATTTATTTCAAAGCTTGGGCGGTTTGAAAAGTCCATTTTTACTGTGTTGTTTGCAATCTGTTGATTCTTCCTGCAGACTTGTTTCAAACGAATTGTTTTTTCTGTTATAAGATTTCTCAAATTGAGCAGATGAGCTTTGAATCGGACACGGAACTTTCTGAAATTCATTGGTATCCTCTAAAAGCCCTTCTGCTGGAAAGCCTTCTGGACTATGATGAAGTTGCACTCTCATCGTAATGAGGACTGCGTCTATGCCTTTTATCATCGCTCAAATAGTAGGAGCTCCAGTGTGGCGGTCTGGATTGGTGATTAGAGCTAAGAGGGGACGCAGAATGATACCATGGAGCCTTTCCTATATAGGGTCTAGACTTCGCATCTTGGAGGCCAAGGGTACGCGAATAATAGGCTCGAACTGGTTTTATATCGAGTTCATTTTCCCGTTAAAGGGAAAATTTTATACCATTCCGTTGGTAGAGACAAGGGCCTTTTTGGGCGAGGCTTTATTTGCAAATGTACAAATCCAAGCACACGTGGGCGTCTGCTGTCACAGTCATAAATGAGCTTGACAGATTAGACATCACCATACGGTTTTTAGATATCTTGAGGAGCTTTCTCTTTAATATACATGGAGAGGCCAAAGATACCCAGCACATTCTAAATGGGTCCGGGTGAGGTGGATTTGTTCTTCTGGCCTTGCGCGATCTGACATTCGCCCTCAATTTTATAATCAAATTCCGGTCTCTCGTTTTAACTTGATTGGGTCTCGATAGATTGTTATAATATAAAGAGCTTCATAATGCACCAGGTAAGCTTGTTTGTCGACAAACATTCCAAAATAGTGCAACTAAAATTTACCATTAAATTTGTTTAGCGGAATCAAAATATACATGTCTCTGTTTGAAGTTAAAGATTATGATAACCTTTGTTTTCTATGCGCCTTTTTTTGGTCGAGTTTCGCATATTTTATCCTCGGGGTTTTCTTTCAAACAGTTTTTATACTCTTTCACGGAATATACACTATTCTTAAACAAATTATCTTTGGTAATAAGACTCCAATTGATGATGAGGAGGTTGTTCTGCCGCTACCTTCCTCACTCAAAATCGTTTTTACACAAGCCCTAGCTGGAGTCATTTTTGGAGAATCTACTTTCAAATCCAGATATTTAACCCCCATATATGGGTTTTTTGAAATTTATAGGTCCTTCAGAAGGTTTCATGGCTAATAAGAATATCGGCTGCGATGAAAAGCCTCCTTTCAAGAGTCAAAAAAATAAATTTTGCGTTGGTGTTGGGATTTACTAGAATATTTATTGTGCAAGCGCGATATGATTAGATTTTACTCTGCTTTATGTTGTAATAAACGGAATTATGGGGGGGGGGCACTTGGATTCAAGGCTGTATGGGGTGAAAACTGCAAATCGGGGCAGATGGGCGAATCAGAGTGCACGCGGAATTAAATTAAATTAGATTGAATTTGATTGGAATGAATGGAATTGGATTGGATTGGATTGAATTGAATTGAATTGAATTGGATTGGATTGGATTGGATTTGCAGGTGAGAGACATCTATATTTAGGAGCAGCGAGGCAATAAGAATTCCAAAAAAACGTCGTATTGACGCAAGTTCAGAGAGTGATCCAAAAGGGTGTACTGATGTTCTTCCTGCATTTTAGCGGCGAAGGCGGGAAATGAAGCTGCCCAGGTGGGCCCAAACGCAAAAACAGCGGTGTCCGAAACATGCGGGCATCTGGCCAGGTGCGATCTGAGAAAACGAGCCTTGCAAGATGGGTTAGGGTTTAGTTTGATTTTATTGAATTTAACTTGGCATCAGTCAATATCAAATAATTCGATCAACTGCTCTCCAACCCTTCCATGCTTAAAATGCCGAAAAATGTCGAAACTTTTTTTGTCTCAAAAAAGAGCGGCAATCATATGGAACGATCGAGAATGTCCGAGAAACTCAAGAAAAACATGCGCAGCGCTCCAAACGGCGGACAAACCGCAATATGGGTGAATTCGGATCGGTTGAAAAGGGAGCAGTAAATTACAT